CGGAACGCAGCTGCAATGGCTTCTGGCCCAACCGCGGCAGGCAATGCCTCCTGGACGAACCCTCCAAGATCGAGTGGAAGCGGCTTGAGGCAAAACGGCTCGGCATGACTGCGGCTTCATCGACGAGAAATTCTGGAAGCTCTTCTGGGGCCTGGGTTCCGACGCGCCGTGGTCCTAGCTGGTGCTTGGCCCCCTGCGCGGGCGAGGGCAGCCCCCTGATTGCGGTGATTTGGAGCGCGCGTCGCCTATGTTGTTCCTCCCGTGGTAAGCGGAGGTGCAGGCAGGCTGCGCTGAGGACCCTTCTGCAGAAAAAAGGTGCGGTGGTCGTGGTCCAGGAGGCCCACGGCGATGAGGAGCAGATCAGGGCATGGGTCTCGAGCCTGCCGTGTCGATGCACGTCCTGTTACCCGGGCTGTGCCAACGGCACTCGCGCTGGCGGCTTGGCCTTCCTGGTGCCGACGGGGACCTTCGAGGCGCCCGTCGAGGGCCAGATGTGGATAGATGTGATCGTGCCTGGCCGCCTCGCGGCCCTCCATATCGCGAAGCACTCGGCCGCGGCCTCCGAGAACCGGCTGCCGTCGTCACCCCGAGAGTGGAGACCCATGCCAGGAAACACCCTGCTTGCCCCCAGGGTGCCCTGGGCGTCTTTGCTTTCGATTGTCTTGCGCTGGGAAGCGTAGGGTGCTCCCGCACCAAAGATCGATGGACGTCCTGGGGTCTCAGGGTTGGGTTTCTTGTGGGAGGTTCCTTGTGGTCGGGCCCCAACTGCACAGCCGCCTGTCGTCGGTCCCTCCTCCGCTGGCCGACGAGCCCGCGCAGTCCTGCAGCCGGGGGCCGGCCTCAGTCTGTGGCCGTGCCCTGGAGTCCCTTGCCAGAGTCGCCGGCCCCTCGCGCGGCTCATCGCCTGCGCGCGCTCCGAGAGTGCACGGGGGGCCGAGCAGCGCAATCTCTACAGGGCATTCCGCGGCATCCTCAACTCCGCGCTCCACCAGCATTAAGTCGGGCTTGTCCTTCTACAGGAGAAATATCAGAGCATAGTCAAAACAGAGTTCGGGGGGGCGATGTCTTCTATAATTTGTTTAACCATGTTGGAGCATTTTTGGGGCATTTTCATTTGTCGTCCAAAATCCGCCTGTAGGGGGACATGCTGGGCCTGACACTAGCAGAAGCTCTGCGGGATCGACCAGCGCGTCGACCTTTTATCGTCCTTACGCATGCTCATCATCGGCATCATCGCCATCTACTCCCCCCCAGTGCCCAGGACTGCGACCGTGTAGATTGCCGCGCTGGTCTCAGTCCTGGCCGCGTGGTCGATGCGCCGCTGCAGCCTCGAGGCTGCCCTCCGGGCAGTTCCTGACGCGCCATGGCCGGTGCCGCCTGGCCAGAGAAGTTTAAAGGTCCCGCAAATGGCCCTCCGCAGCCCCGCAGCAACGCCTTGTGGTCGTGGCCACACATGCTCGGCTGTTTTCTGGATGTCGAGGCCGACTCCCCAACGCATTTTGGCGTGCGCTGGCGCAAATCTTCGATGTTGAACCGGATCCACGTCTCCGTGCCGCCCGAGGCCGTCTACGGCGTCTCCATGCGAGCCTACATCGCCTCAGACCCTGCCGCACCCTCAGAATGGAAGCTAAGCGACCGCGGCATCCTCGCATTGGAACTCTGCCATGCCAAGGACCCTGGGCGGCTAGATCGCCCCGTGCCCGAGTGGATTCGCAAGGGGCCGCTCTTCGCCGCCAAGTTTGAAAAGGCGATGGCCGTCTCCAAGGACCCCGAGGACCCGATCGAGGGGCGGAAGATCACGAGGGCCAGCATCTCGGCAGCCGCCCGCGCCACGCGGGACTCGCTGACCCGAGAGCTGGACCTGGGCGCCAGAGGGTCCCATCCAGACGCGCACCTGCTCGTCCTCCGCGCCGCAGCCCGCGCGCGCTGGCACGAGGGCGGCCGCGCGGTCAGCGTGCCGGTGCACTCAGCCTCTGGTGCCTGGCCTATACTTCGCAACCTGTGGTGCTGGCTGCGCCCCCTTTGGGCCCCGTGGACTTTGCTGCGGCGGTTCGCGCGGTGGCATCCGCAGTGCTCGGCCCGCGCCGCTGGGCGGCGCTGACCAGCGCTTCCGCGGCCGAGCGGCGAGGCGCCCAGGCGTGCGACGCCTTCTGGCAAGGCGGGGCGGCGAGGATTTCTCAGAAGGCGCAGCTCTGGCGCCCCCCGCCCGTGGCGGCGCTGTGCCCCCGCCAGCGGCGGGCCGATGGCCCGTGACGGACCTCGCCAGCATGGCCGCCGCCCAGCGAGCGCATTCGCGGCCGATCTTCGCGGCCCAGGGGTCCCCATCGACGCCGCGCACAGCTGCCTGCAGTGCCATCCCCTCCCGCCGCAAGGCGCCCCACTGCTGCTGCTGCCGCGCATCGAAGCCGCTCCCGCCCCAGGGCGCCCAGCCCCGAAGGCGCCCCGCATATAGCGCGGGCGAGGGCACGCGGTGCCATCGAGCACCTGCGCGTCGGCATGCTTGCCCGCGTATGCGGGGCGCGGCCCCTCCCAGGGGCTGAACGCGTCGCGGCTGCGATTTGCGCCCAAAGTCGGCGACGCACCGTCGGCCGCGCAGGCGGCGCGGGAACCTGCGATTGCCCGCCCGCTCGCCTCGAGGAGCTCCGACTCGAAGCTGTTGGCGGCAGCGGCCCATCGATATCTCTCTGCGGTCGCGGAGAGGCGCGTGCCGAGCGCGCGGCGCAGCTGCGTCGTGGGCCCGAGCTCCCCGGAGAACGCGCGGCGGCTGGGCGCCCGGGCGAGGGTCGCCGAGCTCGACTCCGCCGAGGCCCTCGCTCAGCAGCGCCCGTGCCTCGTTTCCTTCGACGCGGCAGCGGCGCTTCTTAGCTTTCTACGGGTCTGGTTTTTTGCGGCGCTCGCCCAGTTCGGCATCCCCGACTCTTGCCTCCAGCTCGCTGGTGCGCTGCATGACGGGCGGCGCTGCTGGGCGCGCATCGGGCCGCGGTCGTTCTGCAGGTGCACGGGCCTCTCGGGCGTGGCCTGGGGCTGCCCTCTTTTCGGCGCTCGGTGGGCCCTCGCGACGGCGCCATTCGTGGAGGCCCTCGCTGGTGCCCTGGCCCGCCCTCTGGCTCGCTGGCCGGCCGCCCGCCCCGCGAGGCGCCGGTTGTCGGGCCCGGTCGGGGCGCGGAGCTCGGCGACTGCGCTGGCGGCATGGGGTCCTGCTGTGGGATATCTGCTTCGTCGCCCGCGTCGCGCCGCATCTTCGGGCCATGGGGCGCCTTGCGCGTCTGCGCCTGCAGCCGCGGAAGTGCGCCCCGGCGCCTGCATATAGCTCGCCGGTTCGGGCCTTGCAGATGCCATCGGGCCCGCCCGCTCGGCTCCCGGGGCGCCTGCGCCGAGCTGGGCGGACTTCGCCATCGCGTCCAGAGTAACGTGCCTCGGGTTCGTCGCGGGTCCAGGGGCCGTTCTCGTAGGCGCATGGCATGCGGCAGCCGCGAAATACAAGCAGCGCGTCGCTGTGCTCGAGACCGTGCCGGTCCCGACCGCTGGTCGCGCTGCGCAGCGGCCCCGTGATCTTTGTCCTGGCCCACCTAGTTCAGCTGCTCGTCATGCCAGTAGACCTCGTCATCGGCGGGCTGGGCGAGCTGCCTCTTGAAGGCCCCGCCGAAGTCGTTCACTCTGGCTGACTTGTTCAGCCTGCGTACCTGGGCGCGCCGCGCAGCCGTCGGCGCCGCGATTTCTGGGTGGAGAGCCTTCGGGGGCGCCTGGGTTGAGCGCGCGTGGGGCGTCCTCCAGGTCACCGTCGTCATCTCAGGCCGCTGGGCTGCTCTGCGCTGGGCCCAGGCCGAGCCCATGGCGCAGTCAGTGCCTCATGTCGGTGGGCAATGCCAGCAATGCCACGGTCCCGCGCCCAGCAAGCGGCTACAGCGGCGCTGGAGGGCTGCCCTGAGCGAGGCTAAAGCCGCGGCGCGCTGGGAGATCGGCGCGGCCGCTGGCTCTCGCAGCAAGGCACGCTTGCAGCCAGCTCGCGCAGACTCCGCCGCCAATGCGCTTCTCCCCGAAGGCCTCTAGAACTCCATCCGGCGCCGCCTCCGAGCATGGTGGTCGGACTGGGCGGTACCTGCCGACCTTGAGCGACAGGTGGATCTGCATCAAAGCCCAGCTTGCGGCCGCAGCCCCGGGCACGTGCTGGGCAGCCTTGCGCCACCTCGCCGGCGCTCGGACAGCGTCCTGCCGCAGGTGCGTGGGACGCCCCAGCCTTGGGTGCCCGTGGAGCTGCGAGGACGGCGCGGACCGCATAGCGCACTGCATGCAGTATCGCGGCGCCCGGGGGCGCACGCGTTGCTTCGCGCACCGTTGCCCGTGCATGGCCCCTGCGCCGCCTGAGGCCTGGCTTGCCGGAGGAGTGCGCCGAGGGCGCGCAGGGTGAGAGCGGCCTTCCTCGCACGGCCGCGCGCTCCGCGACCCTCGGCTCTGCCGCGCGCGCAGACTCGTGCGGCACCGCCCCGGGTCGCTGCAGTCAGGCCCGGAGGTGGCACAGGCACGCGCGCGCCTTGCTGCCCGCCGCGCCCAGGGCGCCCCCGCTTCCCGCGCGGGCCCAGCGCGAGCCGCCCGCGGCCCGCCATCGGCGCGAGCAGCCTGGCGCTCTCGCCCGGCAGTCGGCCCCCACGCGCTCGAGCACCATGGCTTCCCAGGGCCGCCGCGCGGCCGGCCCGCCCCGCGCACGCGCGGGCAGGCGCTCTGGACATAGGGCCCGTGGGCGCTCCTCCCCACCCCTCTCCTCCTGCTCCTGCTCCTCCTCCTCCTCCTCCCCCTTCTCCTTCTCCTTATCGTCCTCTCCTTCTCCCTCTCCCTCCTCTTCTCCTTCTCTTTGTCCCTCTCCCTCCTCTTCCCCCTTCTCCTCATTTTCCCCTTCCCCCCTCCTTCGTCTCGTCCTCTTCGTCCTCCACTTTCTCCTCCTCTCCTCCTCCTGCTCCTCCTTTCTGTGCCTCCCTCCTCTTCGCCCCCCCACCCCCGCGCAGGCGCGTGCTTCCCCCTGACGAGCGACGACGTCGGCGGGTCGACGAGCAGCTACGGCGTCGGCGGTGTCGTGAAATGGGTCGGCGCCTTAGCTCCGCGGCGCAAAGGGGGGGGGGGAAGCGAGGGAAGACATGAAGGCGGAAGGGGGGGTGGACCACTAGGTCGGGCATGCCCCCCTACAGGCGGATTTCGAGCGACAAATGCACATATAGCCAACAAATCATCAAACATAGCCAACCATAGTCAAAACATCGTCCCCAGGCAATTTTGTGAATGTCTCTGAACATTCCCCCTGCAGAGGGGCATGCCCGACTCAAGTGGGCCACGAGGGACGCAGTGGAGGAGAGAGAGAGAGAGAGAGAGAGAGGAGGGAGAGAGAGGGAGAGGAGTGAGAGGAGGGATAGGAGGGAGAGGAGGGAGAGAAGGGAGAGGAGGGAGAGGAGGTAGAGGAGGGAGAGGATGGAGAGGAGGGAGAGGCTGGCTGTCTTTAGGGCGGGTTTTAGTTGAGGTAGTTGAGCCCCCCCCCGTGGTGATGGTCATGGTGATGGTGATGATGGTGGCTATCGTAGTGATGATGGCGATGCGGATCATCGTAATGGTCATGCAAGATGATGATGATGATGATGATGATGATGATGATGATGATGGTGATAGTGATAGTGATGATGCAATGATGATGATGATGATGATGATGATGATGATGATGATGATGATGATGATGATGATGGTGGAGCTGTGTTCATGTTAGAACCTGGTTCATGATGATGGTGATTCATGATGATGATGATGATGATGATGATGATGATGAGGATGATGATGTTTGGGCTCTAACATGGCATGTTAGAGCCCACATTTGGCTCTAGAGCGCAATTTCTGCTCTAACATGGCAAGTTAGAGCACACATTCTGATCTAACATACCATGTTAGATCACAACGTGCGATCTAACATGGCATGTTAGATCCCATGTGTGATCTAACATAGCATGTTAGATCACAAGTTGTGATCTAACATGGTATGTTAGGGTATGTTAGAGCACAAATTTGGCTGTAGAGCACAAATTTGGCTGCTGGGGGTTGTGCTGAGAGGTAGTGCTAGGGGTTGTGAGGCTGCGTGGGGGGTTGTGCTGGGGGGTTGTGCTTGGGGTTGTGCTGGGGGTTTGTGCTGAGAGGTAGTGCTAGGGGTTGTGAGGCTGCGCGGGGGGTTGTGCTGGGGGGTTGTCCTTGGGGGTTTGTGCTGGGGGTTGTGCTGAGAGGCAGTGCCAGGGGTTGTGAGGCTGCGTGGGGGGTTGTGCTGGGGGGTTGTGCTTGGGGGTTGTGCTGGGGGTTGAAGGAGCGTAGGATGGGGCATGCGGACCACAAGTTGTGATCTAACATGGCATGTTAGATCACAAGTTGTGATCTAACATGCTATGTTAGATCAGAAAGTGTGCTCTAATATGGCATGTTAGAGCCCAAATTTGGCTCTAGAGCGCAATTTCTGCTGCTCTAACATGGCAAGTTAGAGCACACATACTGATCTAACATACAATGTTAGATCACAACGCGCGATCTAACATGCCATGTTAGATCCCATTTGTGATCTAACATGGTATGTTAGATCACAATTTGCAATCTAACATGCTATGTTAGATCACACATTGTGATCTAACATGGGATGTTAGAGCACACATTTGGCTGTAGAGCACAGCTTTGGCTGCTGGGGGTTGTGCTGAGAGGTAGTGCTAAGGGTTGTGAGGCTGCGTGGGTGGTTGTGCTGGGGGGTTGTGCTTCGGGGTTGTGCTGGGGGTTTGTGCTGAGAGGTAGTGCTAGGGGTTGTGAGGCTGCGCGGGGGGTTGTGCTGGGGGGTTTTCCATGGGGGTTTGTGCTGGGTGTTGTGCTGAGAGGCAGTGCCAGGTGTTGTGAGGCTGCGTGGGGGTTGTGCTGGGGGGTTGTGCTTGGGGGTTTGTGCGGACCACAAGTTGTGATCTAACATGGTATGTTAGATCAGAAATTGTGATCTAACATGCTATGTTAGATCAGAAATTGTGCTCTAACATGGCATGTTAGAGCCCAACAGTTTGGCTCTAGAGCGCAATTTCTGCTCTAACAGTGCAAGTTAGAGCACAAATCCTAATCTAACATACAATGTTAGATCACAACGTTCGATCTAACATGCCATGTTAGATCCCATGTGTGGTCTAACATCACATGTTAGATCACAAGTTGTGATCTAACATGGTATGTTAGATCACAATTGTGATCTAACATGCTGTGTTACACCACAGAATGCGATCTAACATACCATGTTCGATCACAAGTTGTGATCTAACATGGTATGTTAGATCACAAGTTGTGATCTAACATGCTATGTTAGATCAGAAATTGTGCTCTAACATGGCATGTTAGAGCCCAAATTTGGCTCTAGAGCTCAATTTCTGCTCCAACATGACAAGGTCGAGCACACATTCGGATCTAACGTACCATGTTAGGGCACAACGTGCGATCTAACATGCCATGTTAGATCCCATTTGTGATCTAACATAGCATGTTAGATCACAAGTTGTGATACAACGTGGTGTGTTAGACCACAAGTTGTGATCTAGCATACCATGTTAGATCATAACTTGTGATCTAACATGCGATGCTAGATCACAAGTTGTGATATAATGTTAGATCACAAGTTGTGATCTAACATGCGATGTTAGATCACACATTGTGATCTAACATGCTATGTTAGATCACAATATGTGATCTAACATGCTATGTTAGATCACAATATGTGATCTAACATGCTATGTTAGATCGCTAGTTGTGATCTAACATGGTATGTTAGATCACAATGTCTGCTCTAACATGCGATGTTATATCAAACATTGTGATCTAACATAGCAGATTCGATCACACATTTTGCTGTAGAGCACAATTTCTGCTCTAACATGGCATGTTAGAGCACAACTTGTGATCTAACGTACCATGTTAGATCACAACTTGTGATCTAACATACGTAGCATGTAAGAACATAACTTGTGCTCTAACATAGCATTATAGATCACAACGTGTGAACTAACATGCAATGTCAGAGATGAAATCGATGTTCGCGAACATAGATTTCCCGTGGGCCCGCCCCCGCCGCACCCAAGTGCGCGTGGCGCGCGGAAATCGAAAAAAATGTGTCGTGCTACGCTCTCCCTCCCCCTCCCCTCCCCCCAAGCGCCCTTACCACGCCCTTCCCCCCTCCAAAGCGCCCTTAACCAGCGAAAATCGATTTTCATAGTGCTCAGGGTCTCCCCCCCCCCACCCAAAGCGCCCTCAACGGGCGAAAATCGATTTTCGCGGGCTTCCCCCCCCGCCCCAAAGCGCCCTTAACTGCCGAAAATAAACTTTCGAAGTGCTAAGGGCCTCCCCCCTCCTCAAAAAAAAGCGCCCTTAACCGGCGAAAATCGATTTTCGCTGGTTAAGGCCCCCCCCCTCCCCCCCCAAAGCGCCCTTAACCGCCGAAGATCGATTTTCGCCTGTTAAGGCCCTCCCCCTCCCCCCCCCAAAGCGCCCCTAACCGCGAAAATTAATTTTCGCTGGTTAAAGGCCCGCCCCCCCCCCCCAAAGCGTCCTTAACCGGCGAAAATCGACTTTCGCTGGTCAAGACCCCCCCCAAAATGGGGGGGGGGGGGGCTTAACCAGTCCGAAATCGATTTCGAAATTGTTAAGACCTCCCTTTTCGCTGGTTAAGGGCGTTTTTTTTGGGGGAGAGGCCTTAACCAGCGAAAAGGGGGGTCTTAACCAGTCCGAAATCGATTTCGGATTGGTTAAGACCCCCCTCATTTTTTTGGGGGGGTCTTAACAAGTGGAAATCTGTTTTCGGCGATTTAGGGTGCTTTGGGGGGGGAGGGGGGGGGGCCTTAACCAGCGAAAATTGATTTTCGCCGGTTAACGGCGTTTTTTTTTTAGGGGGGGCGGGGGCCGTAGCACTTCGAAAATGGATTTTCGGCGGTTAAGGGCGCTTTTTTTGGGGGGGGCCTTAACCAGCGAAAATCGATTTTCGGCGGTTAAGGGCGCTTTTGGGGGGGGGGCTTAACCAGCGAAAATCGATCTTCGGCGGTTCAGGGCGTTTTTTTTTGGGGGGGGCATAACCAGCGACAATTGATTTTCGGCGGTTAAGGGAGCTTTGGGGGGGGGGGGAGGGGCCTTAACCAGCGAAAACAATTTTTCGCCGGTTAAGGGCGCTTTTTTCGGTGGGGGGGGGCGCCTTTAGCACTGCGAAAATTGATTTTCGGCGGTTAAGGGCGCTTTGGGGGGGGGGCCGTAGCGCGCGACAATTTTTGCGTGTGCTCCGCATGCCACGCGCCCTTGGGGGTGGCGGGGGCGGGCCCTCCGAACATCAATTTGACCTCTAACATACTATGTTAGAGCTCCATTTCTGATCTAACATAGCATGTTAGATCACAACTTGTGATCTAACATCGCATGTTAGATCACAAGTTGTGGTCTAACATACCATGTTAGATCACAACTTGTGATCTAACATGCTATGTTAGACAACACATGGGATATAACATGGCATGTTGGATCGCACGTTGTGATCTAACATGGTATGTTAGATCGCAACATGCGCTCTAACTTGCCATGCTCGAGCACAAAATTGCGCTCTAGAGCCAACTTTGCGCTCTAACGTGCAATGCTAGAGCACAATTTCTGATCTAACCTGGCATGTTAGATCACAATTGTGATCTATCATCCCATGTTAGATCACAACTTGTGATCGAACATGCTATGTTAGAGCAGAGATTGTGCTCTAACATGCCATGTTAAAGCAGAAATTGTGCTCTACAGCCAAATTTATGATCTAACCTGCGATTTTAGATCACAATCTGTGATCTAACACAGCATGTTAGATCACAACTTAAGATCGAACATACCATGTTAGATCGCACAGTGTGATCTAACATAACATGCTAGATCACAACTTGTGATCTAACATCGCATGTTCGATCACACGTTGTGATCTAACATGGTATGTTAGATCACAATTAGTGCTCGAACATGCCATGTTAGAGCAGCCAAATCGGTGCTCTAGTATGCTATGTTAGATCTCAATCTCTGATC